TTTACTATGTTTGTATGTTATATTTAATTTGAATATATTAACATTCTGCATAATTCTTTCCAAGATTTATTTTTATCAACGTGTGTGTGTGTGTGTGTGTGTATGTATACATATATGTATATGTGTACGTGTGCTTATGCTTATAGACAGAGATTTATCCTCATGGAACTAAGAATAAGCAGGCTTATATATAGTCCTGTACTTCTGAATTTCATCTGACTTGTGTCATTAACATTTCACTGACCACTAACTACTAACCAAAATTTGATTCTTAGTATGTGTTTCATATACGCAACACTTAAGTCAAACATTTCTATATTATTGACTATTAGTTTAAATAACACTCTGAAGAACATCTCTGAAAACAAACCTGAGCTTGCACGTCTTGATTATTTCTAGCATTACTTCTAGGGAAATGTCTTGACTGGGTGGTTGAAATGAATTGTTTGTGAGCTAAATAAAGGTTTAAGCTAGAATTATTAAAAATAAATTCTAATACATAATTCAAATTTGGTCAGGTAATATTTTATACTATACTACCAGAAAAATATTATGTAAGGATTTTTTATCCTCTCCTGATTTTCCAAGATGTTTGGTTTTTACATAATAAAGTGTAAAGACTAAAGCAATATATTTTTTAGATAAAAATAAAAACAGTACAACTCCACACTCTTTACACTTGTACTAACTCTCGCTTTCTCAGATTAATTCTGTATTCTCAATAAAAGTATGATCATAAGAGATAACAAGTAAAAAATTAAATCTCAGATTATTAATATTGCTTTTCAAAAAGGCATTTAAAACTGTCTGCTGTTTGCATTTATATTAGGAAACATCCTTTTCAAATGTCAGTGAGCATACTCTCCAAATGCATTTACTTAAGCATTCTTATTAATAGTCCTGGTATTATTTTAATAAGAAATATCTAATCAAGATATCTTATATTTAATCTAAATATTGTAGATAAATCACAATATATTAATCATTTACATGCAATCAGAACATTAGCATTTTTAAAGCTACATAACTGTTGATTTATTGAGATACATCAGCCACCAAAAGTAGCAAGTAATGAGAACAAATAATTTATGCTGGGTAAATTCTAATCATATTTCTTTAAAAAATTGTGTAGGAAAATGAACATGTACAACTATGATGAACTAATTCCTTCAACTA